TTCCCCGCTACCGAAACCTTGCCACGCAAACCCAATACAATGTCCAAGCTAGCATTAATGAAATTACCTGGGATAACAGATGCAGTTTAGCACTACCAGCATGGAGCTTCTTTTAAGCTTATTTATCCTGCTTCTTGGCAAAATAAATAAACCGGATTGGAAGTCCATTACATCTAGGTAAAGCAGCTACACAGTTTCCCATACCCAAGATGGGAGGTTTAAATCTGGCTTACCTGTATAGCATGACACGCTGAGTGTTTGATATTCCTCCTTATTTCAATGATAACGATTCTTCATCAGTTTCCATGCATAACTCCATTCCTTCTCTGTTAATGTACAGTAGCGTCTAATTGCAGTGTGAGGGATGAAGAGCAATAATATATGGCAAGCAGGGGGAATACTGATGAAAGGCTGAATTTGGGCAAGTCACAGTAATTTCCCAAGACCCCCTAGGAAGGAAAAGGGGATAGGTTTTCTCAAGATTTTAGTTTAGATACTTTAAATTTTTTGTGGAAGGATCTCCCTTTAGTCATTAAACACAGAGAGTGCCTAAGGAAATTAACCTTTGTTATGTGATCCTTTGTTTTACACAAGTCTTCATATAAAATAGTGCTTAGAAATGGAACAACTTTGAAATGTTACTTAATTTGTGGGTTTACTTAAGTATGAATTATTGGTGAACTTTTTTCTACCCTGTTGTTACCCCTTCATAAAATAGGGTAATGTTATTATTCATTTGATGTGATTCTACAGTGAACTGATAACTTGGTGTTTAAAATATTTCTTTCTGTTTATGAGTCTGTAGACTTCAGGATAGTCTGTGGAACTTTTGTTAAAAACTTGCCTTTGTTTAAATACAGACTAAACTAATCCTTAGTATCTGGAACCTGTCTTAGTCTACTACTGTGGTAACCTGAAGAAATCAGTTTACCTACATTATTACAGAACATCATTCTGTGAGCAACTGACAAAGTATTGTACCATCTGCAGTTTTAAAGGAAGTATTCTTTATAAGCTATAGGATAAATGAAATGTGATAAAAAGAGAACAGTGCTTTATTTAATATTGTACAATGAAATAATTAATGCATCTGTTCTAGTTTATTCTCAACTACAGTGATATATCACTCTTAACTGTTTTTGTTAAAAAGATGATGATTCTGTTAAAATAAAGATACTTAATTACTGCTTGCAGAGAGTGATAAAACCAATTTATCTTTCTTTGTAGTCTTCCTGGAACCAGAGACCTTGGACCTGTTTTTTGATTTGTATCATTCCCTTCCACCAGTGCTGTCTCAGTTAGTAAGTGGCACGTAGTGATTTACAGTCAAGTAATTATGGAAATAGTCTTTTTACATCTCTACTTCGTCCAAAAGACCCTGTTTTATTCTGTACATTAGCATGTTATGAGTCCCCTGGCTAAGTGCCCAGTCACAGTATCTTTTCTTTGAACTTCAGCCCCAGTTTTCATTTCTGAATCTGAAAGCTTTCAAGTCCTCCGTCCCCTAATTCAGCACTACTCAGCCCCATAGAAAACATCCACCCAACTATTTTGAAGTCAGAAGCTGTTGTAAAAGAGAATTTTAAAACTGAGCAATATTTATGTTCAGTGATAGTGTAGAGGTTGGTGCAAAAATAATCTTCAGCCACCAAATGTACTACATGCAGCAGTAGATTGGATTGCTCCAAACATTAAAAGATGATTATTCTGAAAGTTAAATTTTTTTTAATCTTCCAGTATTTTTTTATTCTTCAGGCACTTTCTTGTTTAGTTCAGTTTGCTTCTACAAGGAGATCTTTATTCAGCAATCCAGAACGTGCCAAATACCTTGGTAATCTAATCAAAGGAGTGAAACAAATACTTGAAAATCCACAGGTATCTTTTTATTTTTTATTTTATTTATTTGAAATGCTAAAACAACTGTGAATTTGTTTTTCCAGTTACAGTCTTCATTCACTGAATCTATCAAAACCACTTTCAGCCAGACGTCTGTTTGCTTTGATTTTCTAGTCAAAACAAAGCGAAACCCCTATGCAAATAAAATTGTCACCCAATTAGCAATAGTGCTCATAAAATTTCTATTAGATTAAGCTGTTAACTTTTCAAAATTTGCTTCTTCAAATTTAGGGTTTATCTGATCCGGGTAATTACCATGAATTATGTCGGTTTTTGGCTCGGCTAAAGACGAACTATCAACTAGGAGAGCTAGTAATGGTGAAAGATTACCCAGAAGTCATCCAACTTATAGCAAATTTTACTATTACTAGCCTACAGGTAAGAATATATACAGAAGTGTTCTCTTTTCTTCAACTCTTGAATGACAAAGAGGACTGATCCTAGTTCTTTGTGTTGGTGTTTTCTGAGGAGGTGGTGAGGCTTTTCTTTATGTAAAAATACATTTTATCAGTGATGTAACTCAGATTTCCATTTTCTGTAGAACTGGTTCCCACTCCTATGGAGTTTTGTAATGGGAGCAGATTTAAAGAAGAAAATGACAACTGAAGTAGGAGATAGATGGATGTTAATCCTCCAGCCTGAGTCCTCACCCTCAAAAAAAAAAAAAATTCCAACGAACTACACCCTCTATCTAACCCCAAAATAATTACACCTATGCTCTCATGTAAACTTTCAAGTGCCTACACTAACTAGGTTCTTGAGTTCTGCTTTTTGTGCGTACATATATATGTGTGTACACACATGCACACAGTTGCCTATATGCTGAGCTGCTGAGTGCAAGTTCCCATCTGAACTGGATTCAGAAGCTGCGTGGAATAATGTCTAAATTTTTGAGGGATCCACATCTGTATGAGAAGGACACTTATCACAGGATCAAGATTCTCACAGTGTTAAAAATTTTACAAGTCTGTTTTTGAAACACACCAGGATAAAGGCGTGCACACTGTTTGAGTAATAGTACAATTGCTATTTTAGTGTTTCCTCCAGAGTCTTTCTTTGGTGTTCAGAATAACAGCAGAAGATGGTGACCTTTAGGAGAAGATTTTGGCCTTTGAATTCCTGAGTTGCCAATGACAGCTCCATACACTTGGAAGAGAAAAGAAAGTTGAGATAAATTTCTGATCTTTTTACATTTTCTGTTAGGTGGCTCTAGACAGTTCCCAACTCAACATTTAGGATTTTTGAATGGCCCTTTTATAGCACCTAAATCTCACCACACACTGTGTAAGAACCTAGGCCTAGCTCTGAGTTTCGAATTGTGGATTTCACTTGAAGGAGGCAAGAGTGTCTCCAGGTAATTCTGGATCTACTCTATAATGTGTGCCATAGTATGTCTCAGTTCTGACTGGGTCCTTCAGTAGTTATGTGAATGAATGAGACTACTTAAGATAAAAGCATCATGTTTCGCAACTAGAATTTCACACTGGGATGCTTTAACAGAAGTATGTTTTGTTCTCTTATAGCACTGGGAGTTCTCTCCAAATAGTGTTCATTATTTGCTAACTCTGTGGCAAAGAATGGTAGCATCTGTACCTTTTGTGAAAACGGCAGAACCCCACCTCTTAGATACATATGCACCTGAGATAACAAAAGCTTATATTACTTCTAGACTGGAATGTGTTCCTGTAGTTATAAGGTAAACTTGTAATTGCAACTTTAAAATTGTAATATGGAATGTTTTAATTTTCTGATTTGTTGGCATAGTATATTTTGGTTATGTTTAAAATCTAAGTACACTGGTTCTGATTACCATGGTGATTTCTTTAGATTATCTTAATTAGCTGATAGCATTTTATTCCTTTTGCTTATTAAATCCGGGCCAAAATCAAATGTAAATTCTAACTGTTTTTCCTCTCGTGGGCCTTTGTGTTTTGAAAAAAAGCCTCTTCCCCCCCCCCCTTTTTTTTTAAGACTATCTAAATTAACTATATTGTTCAGTTGTGACGTGTTTTCTCGATGAGTCACTTTCTAGGGCCGTGGAGGGTAGAGTAATGGGAGAAAGCGGAATGAAGCCCACACAGAAGAAAGGATGAGACTGAACAGAACAAGCTAGAGTGGCAAGATTGAAAATGGCCAATTTAAAATGTCTTAGTTCACATCCTCTTTTTAAACATTTAAGTAAATGACCTTATAGTTCACACTATAGTATAACAAATAAGAGAAGTGTGTTTAGATTGCTGAAAGGACTTAATTTTCTCCAAGGGCTTTTATGAATTCCTGCT